TACTCAAAAGAATGTACAGTGTCGAGGAAGAAAACGCGTGGAAACAGAAAAATAGTTAAGAATCACACTTATTCTTAAAAAGTCTTTGAGTTGGTATTTTTAAGCTGTCCTCGCAATTAAAAACTAAAGCTACTTTTCAAGTGGAACTAATACTTTAATTTAGCGCATTTCCTGTACTTCCTTAGTACTTCCGCAGCCGTAATCTGATAGATCAAACATACAAAATAGCTCCTGGAACCGATCTAGGCATCACGCAAAGAAAACTGAACAGTCACAAGTCGCCTTATAACATTACAGAAACCACCTCATAGTCAAAAGCATAAAATTAGCACGAAAACCGCGCACCACACAGAAAGAAAGACTGTAACTTCTTCATAGTTAACAATATGCTCATTGTTAGAGCGTTAAAGTTCAATAGTCGATATGTTTGCTTGTTTAGCCTTTTTGGTATGCCAAAGTCAATTTTTATTTTATCTGAGGACGACTTCTAAAACAAAATTGTTTGAATGCTTTTTCTGTTTGTAATCACTGGGGTATTGCGGCAAATAAATTTACAGACTTAAAGTGGTTAAAATAAAGTTCTATCTGAGCTTTTTTGTATCGGCCCGATCGGTAGCGTTTTGAGTCAAACAGGAACATGTTTATCAAATATTTTTCTTGTTGATATTCTATTTTTTATGTGTTTCCAAGTGTGAAAAGATGTGTCTTCTTCGTTATGGGTAAGAATTTAGCAACATAAGTTGTCGCAAACAATGGTAGATCATTTTCTATGTAGGATTTCGGTTTTTTCCAACAACTATTAGGTAGATAAAGTCTTTTATTTTACAAAAATGATTTTTTACAACTTTATTGCCAAAGTAACATTTGGCTTCTATTTCGTTAAAAAAATTCTTCAAAAATGTTGAGAGTAAAGGGGGTTCTAAATGAGTATCTCATCATTCATTTATTTCTTTTCGATGAGCTTATTCCGAAACGTTTAAAATTTATTCCAGTGCGTATTCAGCCTTTTTTAAACTGCTTTTTGTCGTGAATGTGATACGCCTTGTCGCGCTGGGTGTATTTTTAGCATCTATGTAAGTGCATCTTTGCTTTTTCGTCACTTAAGGTCAATCTTTCCGTTTCTGCTTATTTTTACGTTCAGTTGCGTCACCTTTTTGTTTGAATCTTAGCCTTGTTATGTTCTTGCAGAAGCAGTGCTTGTAGATGATCCTATATCGAAAAAGCGAGCGCCTAGCCTTTTGTAACTGTTCTGCTATAATTTTAAAAGTATAATGTTTTTAATGATTCAGTTGACCATAGAAAGGGGATTTTTTTGATGTTTTTTTTGAACAATTTTTGTAATTTGTTCTTCAATCACTGCATTTTTAATGAAAAAAAAAATTTTAGTTATGTAACTTACTGGTGAGCTATGTGGTCTAGGCAATTGAAGTGAACCGAGCACAGTAGACGTTACAATGTAATGCAATTTTCTAGAGTTAGTTTTACTTTAATCTTCGTGTTTTCAAATATGTTAATTTGCAGAAGTCGGTATAAACTGTTAAAAAAACCGTTAAGACAGTTAGTTAGCTGGTCATTTTTGTGGGTTGAGATTTCTTTAAATAATATACGTATTTGTGTGAAAAAGTTCTGGTTATACGTGACAATTGTTGGTAGTTTAGCTTGACAACAATTGATAATGAATGCTGCTTATCGCTGCATGGACATTCCTTAAATATATGCTACCTCATTACATGGAATCTAAACTTAAGCGGAATTACTAAATGGAGTTTGTTTATAGGTTATAAAGAAAGATATTGACAACGTACTTTAGTAGATTCCGAGAACTGTTTAAAAATTTTGGTGTTTTTTTTTGCAAAAATTATGTTTACTTTTGTGAAGTGTTGAATAGAACATTTATAATGTTCAAATTGCCCTTATGTAGAGGCACCTTGAAATATTTAACGATGGTTTTTCCGAAATCACTTGGCTACAGAAGTGTCTATACTTAACACGATACATGACATCATCACCAGTGTTTTCATAGGTCAAGAACCTTGGTATAAAAATACAGACAGAGAGAAGAAGTTTGTCATACTTTTAGTGGAATCACATTCATGTGACACGAAGAGGAAAAAAGTCTTGGTTAACATGCAGTACACTGAAAGTTTTGGTTAATTTGTGATATCATTTGTTGTTTTTGGTGGTAATAATTTTAACCATCAGCAACTTAACCATCTTCTCTAGGTGGTTTACTTCAAAGAAAATTTGTGCAGTTCAAAAGTTAGAAAAAGAAAGATAAAATTTTTACAGGCTTTACAAATGCGTTATTACTTACCTGTACAGCTCAACAGCATTTTGTTAATAGTCGGAATTGTAATGTGATTTTCAATTATCACTCTCTGATCGCTTCAGAGCTTCAGATTAGGTTTGACGATAGATGATAACAAATTTGAAAAAGAATTTTGATAACTGTTCAAGACTTTTTGTTTTTTTTTTCTGAAGCAGTATATTTGGTTGCTAGAGAAATGTTTAATGATATGAAGTGAGTAATTAAGAGACTATAAATCTGTCAACAGATTTGGATTTAACTTTTGTACTGACAAGT